GATTCAGTCAATACGATATGAGGGGCACTTGAAAACTGCATTTCATGAATTGATCTCTGTCGCTATGAGGATCCTGGAAACCACTGATTGAGGAATATGAATGAGAGGTAATATTGTTTCTTCTGCCGTGTCCAAGGACAACCCCCCCCCCCCTTTTGGCTCATAAAACTGGTGTCCTCGGTGCACTGCGACGCTCTCTTTCTCAAGGACAAACAGATAAAATCAAACTACAAACAACTGAAGTGCATTGAGATCAGATTTCTGAGCAATTTGTGACGTACTGATGAGAATGAGAAACATGCACAAATAGCGTAGACAGGTGAACTGTTAATTACTGCACATTCAACTGGAACTGGGGTGCGTTTCCAGAAAGCATCGTTAGCCAACTATGGTCGCAAGCTCCGTCGTTATCAGCATAGTTCAACGAGTCGATGTTTCGCGAAACCATCGTTCCAACGAGCATTCGCAAACAGCATCGCAAAGTTGTGTGGTTGGACAGATCTCTCGAGCTGTGGTTAGAAGCATAGTTACTAGATTGCATGACATGTGGAGTAAATAAATCCTTATCTTGAGCAAAATAACCAAGCTGACATTCAGTACAACCTGTGTATTTTATTAAGAATACATACAAATGTAATGTACGTCTTGAGTTTGTCAAGAGATTTAAAGCACCGTTTTTGAAGACTGCGCATGTGCGAACCATAGACTGTAAAAAAATAGTGCGAACTAGTAAGAACGAGCCTATGATTGAATCTGGAAATAAAGCGAAATTTGACAAATTTGAAATATTCATCAGATGCCATGTCTGTAATTTATATCAAAACATCTAGCATTAATTCGATCTCAAACAGTTTCATTAAAACAAGTTATCTTCACCACGTGCGTGACGTCATAAACCAACGTGGTTGAACGACCACTTTGCGACAGACAAGGCTTGTTTGAGATGCGCCTTGCCTCAAATGTAGTCGAGAGTAGGCGGCTGCAGTGAGAGGAGGAGTGAAAAAAGCGCAGGCAAGCCGGACAGATCGCTCTTCTCGCAGTGGATCTGACACCTGTGAGATCAAAGGCGGATATCGCGGGATTCACGGGATTCACACTCGTGCACGGTGTTGCTAATAAACTGGATGTATTTTAAGTTTTGTTGCTTGAATATGAAAATAAATATAATGAACAAGACACTCAAAGTACTTATTTAATTCCATTTTAAATAGGCCTATATGTTTATGAATCATTTTTTTTTTTTACAGATATGTGTTTTTATTTTTAATTAAAAAAAAAAAAATTACACCAAATAGATCGCACTGTCTGAGAGTTTGGGGATATCCACACATAATCTATACACATAAAACATGATATCAGAGTTTTAAAATCAAACATTTTAAAAGAGAACAATACATCACGGTTGTTTAAACCAATGAGCATTAAGCTGTGTCGTCAGCAAGTCGTTTCCCATCATGCTTTTGATCAGCGCAGTCGGTGGAGAGCAACTGCGCGCGACTGCAGAATCCGACACGTGCGCCTTGCGGTCGCGAGACTTAGTTGACTCACGTCAGCATGACATCAGAGCAAGGCGGACCGCACTCGGACACATTTCTAACCGGCATGCATCTCGCGCTGATCACCGGTGATCGGTTCTGCGCAGATTTAGCTCATCTCAAACAAGCCTAATGTTTCGGGAAACAGTCGTCGTGACCAAAGCCCGTCTACGTTAGATGTCTATATTAGACATTCTCTGGTCGTGACGACCCTATGTGAAGCATCGAGTTACATCCCATCGTTATAAGGGAAACGCACCCCAGCATGTCCTTTTTCTCTTTCAATTTCACTGTCAGTCACAGAAGCTGCAGCATTTTATAGATGCAGAGCAAACCAGTTTCAAACGTTAAAAAAACATAACATATTTTGACAAAGCATTTCTAGCTATTTGGGAGTTTATGGCGACAATCAATCAATCGATCTGTCTGTCATACAATTGTTGTATTGAACAATTTAAAGTTGATTAGATTCAGTTTCTTAAATCTAGCTTGAACCCGCCTTTCTGATAACCTGACTCCGCCAGATGGATTTGCTCCCATAGACTGTAAAAAAAGATGGACGTCGCCCCTTCGCTCTTTTCCATTGGAGAGAACTGAAGCCGCCAGAGTCCCGATATGGCGCTGACATATTGGAACTTGAGTCTGCGCAGTAGCGTTTTCGGGACCAGTCATGCGCAGTCGTGAGCAGGAAGTAAAGCCGCGAAATCAAGGCCCCGCCCTCGCGCTCGTTGAATCAATCGCAAGCACACGCCCTGCACTTTTCTTAAGTGGCCTTGTCTGCTCCGTTCCTCTCCAATGATGTCTGATGATTGCAGTACCTCGTTAAAATAAGGTAAATACAACTACTAACCACATAGTCAACATTATGAAAAAAAGTCCGTTGGTGCTTCAGTGACTACTTCACACAGAGAACCTGTCAATCACAGCTGTCAATCATGATGTCACAGCACCGTTTTTATAGCATCAAATAACTAACTAAAAACTAACTTATTTTAAAAACAAACACTTGAAATTACATCAACGTGATAGAAACTACAGTAAATGACAGAAACTATCTTTAGAAAAAAGATATGTGAAGTGTAATTTAATTATTTAGTTGGTCTCACGTCCCGTTGAATAACATGGGGAGGCGGGGCTTATGAGCTATACTAGGACCGGTCACCGGGGGGCGATCGAGACGTTTTGGCTTCACTTTTGAGGGATTGTGCGGCACGCTTGTTTGCTCCGCATATCCATCTGGAAACCTTCCGTTGAAGTAGTTTTGGTAAGGGGCGAAAATACTGGTTAGCTGATTGGCCTATGTTGGTGATAGACGGGCCAAATCAACCAATCAGATCAACGAAGCATATGACGTACTAACAGAGCGACGACGAAAACACAACCACAAGCCAGGCTACTCTTGCTGCTGCAGGTAAAGGCTCGTTAGCTCAGCAAATAAGCAACATGTCGGCAAAGGATATTTGCCGTTTATGTAACTACAATTTGCGAATAAAAGGCACCATTTCAGGTGCCCGGTCCATATTTCACAAGAAGGATGCAAGAGAAAAAAGCATTAGCGAGCGGCTAAAAGAATTAGGACTACCGCTGTCTGAAAATGTTTCTAGATCAGTTCGTATTTGCTTGCGTTGCTTCCGCTTGATTGGTAGACTAGAGGTGGATTTCGACGTTTTTAGAAGATGGCAAAGAGCAGAGAAAGAGAAATGTCGCGCTTCTCGTTGCGTCACACCTCAACCCGCCTCAAAGCCAACGCTGATTGGACGTTCGTTTGGTGAACTGCTCCCAAATTTTCTTTAACGGAAAGTATCCAGACTGATCTGCGAGTGAAACCTTGAAAGCTCGCGAGATCAGGATGGTCTCACGAGGCTACCTTTCTGATGGGATCAGGAAGGATAATCCAAATGTTTTGGATTAAAGGTATATATCCTAATAAAATGTTGTGAACAGAACATATTGCAGGGTTGGTATACCGAAAAATCAAGAAACCAATATAATCAAATCTGATTTCAGTATCTTTTTTCTTATCTTTTGAACAACCCGTTTACAAGACCTGATCAAATATGATTGCCGAAATCCAATCAAATTACTTCGGATGACAAGTATTTTTAAGTATATTTTTTAGTGAAATATTGTTATAAAATTGTGACTTTTATAAGCAATGCATTACAATCAGAGCCGGATTAGTACCCCCAGGGACCCCTGGGCACTGAAGCTCATGGGCCCCCCTCCCCTATACCTGACAACCACACCCTCTAAAGGAGGCGATAAAAAAAATATAGTGACAACCAGCAAAGGCAGCTGACCTTCGCACCACCAGACCCACTCCACAAATGTAAACACACACACACACACAAAGGCCCACCGGGTGTGGGATTTGACATGCCAAATCACTATTGGTCAAAAGATGAATGACTAGTTCACAATTATCCCAAGGCAGTGTATGGCTCAAGAGACTATTTATATGGCAATAGTGTTCACTTAAACTCACCAAATGGTGATGGTATTTACAATATTGCATTACTCTCTAAAAAAGTAGGCTAACTAATTGCATTAGTTACTGTCATGCTAACTGCTAAGTAATGCATTACATTACTTTTACGTTACTTTTTCTCACATGGGCAGGATTTGTTTGTTTGTCTTACATAACAAAATAACAAAAAAGGTCTATTTTTGGCAAATGTAAAGGCCCTTTCACACCAAAAGTGAAATGAATAAAGGAAGTGGCTAAAGGAAATGCAAATTCACACCTACTTTCAGCTGTGCTGCCACATTTTTTATTAATTTTGAGGAATACTAAATCTATTTTTGTGCAAGTGACAGGAGTATAAATGGGAGAACAAAGTAACTTGAGTTAGCCTACTTGAAAAAGTAACTCAGATATTTTGTTGTAAATTTATAATTACCGATAATGTGTCCTACTTGGAATAGTAATCTGATTACAACTCCTGTTACTTGTAATACGTTACCTTCAAAACTGATTGCCATTAAAGAATGCTATTATAAAATGAGTGTAAATGATGTTCAGGATACTGGAGTTACACTTTTTACTACATAGTTCATATATGTTGACATATTTAGCCAACAATAATATAATATAATATATTCGATATTAACATGCATTATTATGATTTATAAATATTTTATCTGGACCAACTTCATTTTACATGCAGTAGATACAGTAAATGTTTCATGCATGCCTATCAGATATATCAGAATATCAGATTTCATGTGCTTAATTACAAAAGTCTAGTATAATTACAGAGTAGACTATGCTTAAATGTCCAGTAGTGTAGCCTACTTGCCAGCTTTATAATAATGTACTTCAACTGTACCCAACTATCATGATGTGACTGCTTGTTTATAAACAGCACTAAGTACTTTGTCTACAGTTGTCCCGTTATTTATACTGACCATCCCGAGTGTGCAAGAGCGCAGATGCGCCAGTCGCGGGTTCACGTGACTTCCTGCGGCGAGTGACTGCTGCTGCAGTTTCTTGTCGCGAGCGCTCAGTGCACGGTGTGGAAATTCCGAACCACATCGGCATGAAGCTGCACGCACACACCGCACGCGAATCGCCACGCCACCCGTGAACGGTAAGGCGTCTCCGTAGGGCAGCGGATTTACACCCGTTTTAGCGGAGGGGGGATTAAGATCCAGCGCGATCCAGAGGGAGAAGTTTGCTCACTGCGTCGGGTGGAGGAGGTGAACGGGACACCAGCAGCGAGCATGGCGGAGAGAAGTGGCCGGTTGAGCTTCCCCGGCAGCGGGGCGCTGAACAGACCGGTTCCTATGAACCTGTTCGCCACCTGGGAGATAGACGGCTCGTCTCCCAACTGCATTCCCAGGTGAGAGTCATGCGTGATCGCTCGGACTCCCAGGTGGGCTGTTTGTCAGCGGGCAGGCAGGTGCACGGCGGCAGGGAGTGGTGTGTGTGTGTGTGTTTTAGACAGAGAAAGGGTGTGTGAACTAGTTAGTCTGTCATTGTGGTGCACTGATCGAGCGCGTCTGATTGGACTGATGTCAGCATCGGATCAGGTGGCACAAATCCAGTGATGTTCTGCTGATTTAGTAACGCTTTTCTGTCATTCACCAGCATTAGTAACTCTAAGTGTTAAAATGTGACCCGGTTGCGCTTTGATCAGTAGTCAAAGTGCTGCGTATTATTATTATTATTATTGATAGTATCATTAATTTCCTTTTCTGTTATGCTTGGCGCTGACCTGGGGGGTTTGACAGTTCTTTTCGGTCTGCGAACACAAACAAAACTCCCTTGCCATTGTGACGTCAGGGTTCCACTCTCGCGCCGCGCTCGGGTGAGGTGGCACGCGCGGTTTCGCCGGAGGGGTCGAGCTGTCATCAACGCGGACCGGTTTAATCTTGCCAAATAAACCAGTGAATCTACTAGATGCACTGCAACCAGAAACATAATGTTATGAGTGACCCAGATATTCAGAGACAGCTGTTTCTCTTCTGTCTGAGTCATCAAAGTACTCTTTCCTTCTTTTTTTTTCTTTCTTTCTTTCTTATAAAACGAGCTTGCTGTATGTGTGCTGGCATGCAGGTTGTTTTTTGTTTCTGTCCCATAAACTGTTATGATGAACTATGGGTGGTGTCCGCAATTGATCTTAAAGAGTTCACCCATAAAAGGAGAAAATGCCGTCATTATTTACTCCACCTCATCACTTCCAGGAGAAATTATAAAGAGGGACTGGAGCTGGAGCTTTCAAGTTTCTAAAGATATCATAAATCTCTGAAGAAGATTACAAGTCTTCTAAAGCCATATAGCTTTGTGTGAGGAGCGGTTCAAAATGAAAGTCATTATTCACTAAACAAATAATGTCTTTTCAAAGAATCAGTTGATTGAGTGAGTTCACAAAAGCAGTGTTTTTTGTTTGTTCACCATTTGGATTGATTCAGTTCTTCACTGACTTAAAGGGTTAGTTCACCCGAAAATTCAAATTATCCGATAATTTACTCCCCCTCAAGCCATCCTGAATGTGACTTTCTTCTTTCAGCCAAACACAATCGTTACCAAGTTATATCCGGGATCTTTCAAGCTTTATAATGGGAGTGAATGGTACCTTGTTTTTTTTAAGCCCAAAAAAGCGCATCCATCCATCATAAAAGAAATCCGTACAGCTACAGAAAAATATCCATACGTATCTAATTATATAAAGCTTTAATTATGGATAATTTTCTTACAAAAACGCATCGCTTCACTTCAAAAGGCCTTTATTAACCCCTGGAGCCGTATGGATTACTTTTATGATGGATGGATACCGGTACGCTTTTTTGGGCTTCAAAAAACGAGGTACCATTCACTCTCAGCTTGGAAAAGCCAGGATATTTTTAAATATAACTCCTATTGTGTTTGGCTGAAAGAAGAGTCGTATACACCTGGCTTGAGGGTGAGTAAATTATGGGATAATTTTCATTTTTGGATGAACTAACCCTTTAAAGGATTAGCTGATTTTTAAAAAAAAAAACTTTTGCTGATAATTTACTCACCCCCATGTCATCCAAGATGTCCATGTCTTTCTTTCTTCAGTCGAAAAGAAATTAAGGTTTTTGATGAAAACATTCCAGGATTTTTCTCCATATAATGCACTTTGCTGGGCACCAAACGGTTCAAGGTCCAAAAGACCGTTTCAGTGCAAACTGCAAACTGTTCAAAGGGCTTTAAACGACACCAGACGATGAATAAGGGTCTTATCAAGCGAAACGATCGCTCATTTAAAAAAGAAATAACAAAGTTTAAGTTTTATAAGCTCAAATGCTCGCCTGGCTCTGTTCTGTGTGACTCTCCTGTTCGAACTCGTTCATCAAAATGAACGAATCTTTTTCCGAGTCAATTCGTTCATTTCGTTCGTTAAATGAACCAAATGACTCGAAAAAAGATTTGTTCATTTTGATGAACGAGTTCGAACAGGAGAGTCATGAACGCGCATCACAGAACAGAGCAAGGCGAGCATTTGACATTATTAAACTTAAACTTTGTTATTTATTTTTTAAATGAGCGATCGTTTCGCTTGATAAGACCCTTATTCATGGTCTGGTGTCGTTTAAAGCCATTTGAACAGTTTGCAGTTTGCACTGAAACTGTCTTTTGGACCTTGAACCGTTTGGTGCCCAGCAAAGTGCATTATATGGAGAAAAATCCTGGAATGTTTTCATCAAAAACCTTAATTTCTTTTCGACTGAAGAAAGAAAGACATGGACATCTTGGATGACATGGGGGTGAGTAAATTATCAGCAAACGTTTTTTTAAAAGTGAACTAATCCTTTAATGGTCCAGTTTCAGTAGATAACATCTCAGTGAAGGGGAGGAATTTATTTTTTTAATGAAAAACAACTTCTCATACAAAGATTAGATTTGATTTCTTTTATGGTGCTTTTTTTGTGTCATTTTGGAGCTTGACAGCCCTTTACTGTAAAGAAAAAAAAAACTCATTAAATTCACAGCAGAAAAGTGTCAGTATGGTTGCTAGAAATTCATCATAAAAAAAGTTCAAATGTTTCAGATGTTACAGTATGCCTGTATATTTTAAAACTTATAACTGCATATTTAATATAATGTTAATATACCAGTCTTAAATGACCAAAATCTGCTTTTTACAGTAAATGTACTCTAACCACCATAATATCACAGGTGACACAATACAGCCAGATCAGAGCTGTCGCTAGACTTTTAGTTCAATGGAAAAAAAATCATATAGGTTTTGAACTACATGAGGGTGATATCTTAAAGAATTTTCATTTTAGGGTGACCTACCCCTTTAAAACAGCCTGAACTGGAGCAAATGATGGAGAGGAGGATGGGGAATAAAGAGAGAGATGTGCCTTATGAATTCTTGATCATAATAAAAGATTCACAACTGTACCACAGACACATTTTCCCTCGGGCCCTTTGTCTGCTCGCTGTATGTGTGTGTGGAGCACGACATTTGACCGTAGAATTCCTGCAGTTAATTATGTGTTAATTTAAAGGTCCGTTCTGCGCACATCATTAAAGCTGAGAGTAGAATCTGAGAGAAATGACTCATCTTATCACAATGAGACACACTCATACATCCCTGTCTTAAAAATTAAATTAAATTCAGCTTTTAATGAGCTAATTAATGAGCTACAGCAGCTGCTTTTCGGTTTGATTTCCCCGTGGGCTTCCACTGCAGTGGGTGTGGCCTTGTCTGGAGATACTGTCTGATTGGCTAAGTCTGATGTGTTGGGCGTGTCCCCAAAATAGTACTGGTGAAATTATTAAATATTGTATATTTTGTTTATTCACCAGCTTTCCGGTCAATTTTTTTTATTCATTGCTGTTCTGTTATTGTTAACTAAAATGTAAAAATTGTGTTTCGTTAATTAAAATATAAAATATTTTAAATATTGGAGGAAAAGCTTAAATGTAAAAAACTTAAATGAAAATGAGAAATGTTGACTTGGCAACTAACTGAAATAAAATAAGTAAAATAAAAAAGTACTAAAATGATTAAAAACTGAAGTAAATATACAAAAGCACACAACTACTAAATCGTATGCTAAAGTTAAAATGAAACCAAAAATGTAAAAGAAATTATTTAAAATATTAGTAAATGCTAAATAAGTTATGCTAAAACAACTATACCAAATATAAAAGTCCATTAAAACACACCACTTTACGTGTGTATTTGTATTTTTTATGACACGTTTGTGTGTGTATGGCAGAACAAGTGCTTTTGTGTTTGTCATGGTTCATCTCTTTTGCTTATTTTGTTGTTGAGTGTCTTTTGGATGTTAAGTGAATGAGTGTTTTGAAGAGAGATTCTTTTATTACAACCTCTAAATTTATAACCTCTATACACTGTAAAAAGTAATACCTAGATCTAACTTATAAAAAGTGAGGCAAGTGGCTGCATTGGATGTTTTATGTTGATTCAACTTGCAGCCTTTTTTAAGTATATTAAACACTTTAACATTACTTTATAGAAACGCAAAAAAATCAAGTTGAGTTAACTAATAGTATTAGTATTACTCAGTTGGATAAACCTACTTTTCTTGGTACAGGTAACTTATTTATGGGTTGCTACAAGTAACCTGTACTCATTTTAATTAGGTTTTATGAACTTTATTTTCTTAGTAAAATTAACTTAATCATATGTGAATAAACATTTTAATATATTTTTTTAATTGTCAATAACAATTACAAATTCAATTGAAGAATAAAAAGATGAGAAGATAAATTGAAGACAATATATAATTTATTCAATGTCAACCAGTGTCACTTTTAACAGTGACTACAAAACAGCAAATAAATGTGGCCGCACATGTACACTCTAATATAAAACAAACACTGTAGAAGTGTATTTTCAACCTGTTCTGAACAGTACAGTGAAATATCCAAACTGCCCAATCTGAAATGTTTGGATCAAGGTAAAGTGAGCCATAACATCACATTGTATCACACTGGAACTGCAATGTCAAAAATTACATGATGATAGTTTAGGACGCACAGGGTCCAATCCTACAAAAAGCCTCTGATATATCTCAAGTATACACCAGTTTTGAGGGATACATGAGGTCGAGAGCATAGGTAAGGAGGAGCAACAGGAGGCAGCATGCTTTCGACAGGTTTGGCACACCTCTGACCACGGGCTGTCCTTATATGATAATCCCAATCGTGTCGGGGTGATGGCACATGTAAATTTTCAGTGGGCAACTGCCAAGCTCAGCGTGCACCTCTTTTTCAGCCCGACTCTATTGGTGGAGACAAAAAAGAAACAAGAGTTTGGTCAGACACATAGGAAATGAGATGAATATTAGCAGACAGGTAGAAGAGATAAGAGACAAAGTCCAAATTGTACTTTTG